ATATATATATAGGCCTATATATACACAAATATATATATATATATATAGGCCTATATATACACAAATATAAATAGGCAATAAGTACAATAAATTAAATGAAAAAAAAAGAAAACAAAAAAGGCAGCTACATCTCGGAGGTAATACTTTCTTAGTTGAAGTTAGGGAATTTCAACAATGGGACTCGAACCCTATTCATATTTTATTCAATTGGTCATTAAAACGAAAAATCCGTCCCCTCCCCCTCCCCCACAAAAAGAAACAAAAACAAAACACCATAGGCCTACAGTAAAGAGTCCGTATAGATTTTTGAGTCTATAAGTAAAAATTCAACGAAAATTACAGCTTGGTAATCAAGATTATAATGTGATTGATCCTTCTCCGATTGGCCATCGAATTTTGGCCATCCTTTCCTGGTGGCGCTCTTTTGTAAACAAACAGAGAACACTTTCACTGAGCTGTCTGTGATGTGATTTTGAGGACTGGGCTACTCTGCAGTTTATGTACGGTTTTAATTTCATCCTTGGTTTTTCTACATATTATGATTTTAGTGGAATTGATGTTGGGTTATCATTGAATAACATATTTTGTTTGTATAGATATTGACAACATTTTATTGTGTATTAACTAGGGATTTAACGTAGCCAGCTAGGCCAAGCTAGGCTAGTTACACTAGCCAGACCAGGTTTTGTATGCACTTTGAGGTCCAGAGAATTTGACTTCAGAAATTGGTTTAGGGTGGTCCAAGAATCATTCTTGGCTTGGTAACACATTTTTAAAATGTGGCGAAAGGTCAGGGTCAAAGGTCATAGCTATAGGGTAGTCATAATTCTGGTGCCTATTTGTTCAGAACAGGGAGTTGTTCTAAATAACAACTCCCTGTTCAGAACATTCATATTTCTATTTGCTCTAATTGAACATTTTTGCTAAAAAATGACAAAAGGCAACTCCTTGTGAATACTGGTTGCCAAGATATAACCCTTTTGTCAACACCAACCACATGGGATAAATGCCTTGTAACATGGGTGAATGGTGAGTATCAGCATATTCGTTTTAACAAAAGATTCCAATCAAGTAAGCAGAAACATGATATGAATAATTTGATATCACAAGAAAGTCTCTACAGTAAGTGTGTATAGGGGTAGGCATATATGCATTGAAACATGTCAAACACCATAACTAACTCTCTACCACCAGTGGTTGTGGAGATTCTATGGCTATGACCTTCAAACATGTCAAAGGTCAGAAACAGCTTTTCCAGTCGTATTTTAGTAAAATGTTCTATCAGAGCAAATAGAAAAAAGAGTATTCCGAACAAATTGGCGCCAAAATTAACTCTCTACCTCCAGTGGTTGTGGAGATTCTATGGCTATGACCTTCAAACATGTCAAAAATCAAAAACAGCATTTCCGGCCTTTTTCTAGCAAACTTTTCTATTAGACCAAGTAGAAACATTAATGTTCCAAATATATTGACACCACAATTAACTCTTTACCACCAGTGGTTGTGGATATATAATGACCCTATTGCTATGACCTTGAAATGTGTCAAAGGTTATAAACAGAATTTCAGGTCATTTTTAAGCAAAATGTTCCATTAGAGCAAACAGAAACATGAATGTTCTGAACAAATAGGCACCAAAATTAACTCTCTACCACCAGTGGTTGCGGAGATATGACGACCCTATACCTATGACCTTTGACCCTGACCTTTTGCCACATTTTGAAAATGTGTTACCAAGCCAAAATTGATTCTTGGACCACCCTAAACCAATTTCTGAAGTCAAATTCTCTGGACCTCAAAGTGCATACAAAACCTGGTCTGGCTACTAGGAAAGTAGTATTCTATTGAGAGGATGCCTATGCTTAGGCTGCCATACCTCATTACCAGAAAAGATAGCACTTGATGTGTTATTGGAATATAATAATGTTATCTGTCTGCTGGCAAAGCTACTGAAATTTTGCCATGTGGTTCATTCATTTATGATTGGCAAAAAATTGAGGAGCATCATTGATTGATGATGATGTGGGGGTGGGGGAACAAAAAGGCTTTCCCGCAAAGGTTATGTTTGAATGGAGGTGTGAACCAGGTGATTTTTAAGTACATGAGTGATATTTTTGCACCAATGATTATGATGATGATGTCTGGTAATATTATTAACGATATTATCATTATTATTATTGAAATTATTATTATTTAATACCTTCATTGTAAGGCCAAATAAAATTAATTGCTAGTTTCTCATCCCTGCCCTAACTATTTTTACTGTTTATCAGCTTGTTTACCATAAGTATATAGGATAGTAAAAAGCAAATATGCTAAATACTCTCACCAAAAAATAATTTCTAATCCCAGATGTGAAACTAAAAATTAATTTAATTTGACCTAATGTGATCATCATCGATTATAATTATTATTGTTTGTTTTTTTTTACTCTCCAGAATGGCCAACAAAAAACACTCTGTTTCAAAGGAGATGGCAAACGGTTGCAACACAGCAGATGCACAGAATCCGAGGACCAGTGGGCTCTTTTCTCAATTCATTTTGCTCGATCAAAGGTGGACTAACAAGTGGGCCTTATGCGCGTCTGATAAGTCTCGTTATGGTGTGTTTCGTCCAATTATGAAGCTTCTGGAGATCAGTGGACATGGTGTCCCATGGATTTCAATACCGTTGCTTCTCTTTGTAGTAAGTACTGATGACTATGTACTTCAGATGGTTACCAACCTTCTTCTAGGTATGTAATTTGTAACAAACTTTAACGTTCATGTGAACTTGCTTGATTGTACACATATCAATTATTTCAATAGCGGGGGTGATGCCAGCTTATCCCTAACAAATTGTGTATCGTTCCAAGTCAGATGGGCCACATTCCACATCCAATTCAGCCCAGCCATTTACCATTTTCCCCGATGGCCTGGCCGAGCCGGCCTACCCACTGGCGCCATTCTATGTTCAATACATAATTGACATTGTATTAAACTAACCTCTTGTTGCAAAATGTCCATTTGAGGAACACATGTGGCACCTGGTTAAATGGGCTTTCTTTAACAACGTATTTTTATTTTCTGTGTTTGGTGACTGATATTTATTATCATTATCACGATTATCGTCATCATCATTATTATTACTACTACTAGTAGTACTGTTGTAGTATTAAACAAAACTTTATAAAAGCTTGCAAAAGGATAAAAACAAAACTGAACTATACATTATCACATTTCTATATCTTAAGAGACCAAGACTGGGATTTATGGATTTAAGACAAAATTAAGGTGATTTTTTTTGTTAAGTAAGTTTGATAAATCCACCCCCTGAGTGGTAAAGCTCTTATATAATCACAAAATGTTACTTTTTGTATTATCATTCTACATCGTTTATTAATAGACGTTTATTGTGGGTTTCTATCAGAGCATGAGTCACAAACATAAAGATATAGTAGAAGGTGTCAATTAGAAATTGTACAGCATTTAAGTCATCACCAAATTCCATTTTTTTTAACAATTTGTAATCGCATAAAAGTGATACTTAGTCCTTGGAGTTTACTATCAGTATCGTTAGTGTAGGTCAGCAAAATGAGTTATAACAAACCATGTTTATTTTGTATTTCTAATTTGCTCATGCTTAGGCCCATATGTTTTAATTATAGTATATTTATAACATGTGCTGATGCATATTTACATATTTTAGAAGTAGTTCATTTTGAATGATCCCAGGAAAGAATTTGTATTGGCTAGAAAAAACAAGCTTTAAAATACTAACACCCCCTAGATACGTCCCTGCTACTCTGTCATAAATTCAGATGTAAAAAGTAATCATTTTAAATGTCAACATCATTATCATCAAGTACCTCATAATATGAGGGCAGCCTGTTTGAGTCAGCCTCGTTGTAAGAGCTACCCACATAAAAGAAAGTTGAATAAATAAATAAAGAATTTGGTAACAACTATAAGGAAGCAATACTTTCATAGAATAACAGTGATAAGCCATTTAGGGTTGCTGCCCTCTAGAGGATTATGATTGAGAACAGCTTAGCTCAGTCGGCTAATCTGGTGGTAGCCACTGTGTGTGCGCTGAACTGTGAAGATCTCTAGGTCCCCGGTTCAATTCCCATTGCTGCCTCTCCTTGTGTGTTTCAGCTAGAGGGCTGAAATACAAGTGAAAATAGCGTACCGTCTTTCGAATGAGACCTTTAAGCTCAATCACCACCAGAAGGACCCTACTGGAAATAAGTCTTCTTCTTGACTTTTGTGGGCTATCCTTGGTGTTTACACCGAGTAAATCTAATACTAATTCTAATAATTCTTAAACCAACATTTGGGTGGAAAATTACTGTAAACCAAATGTGACAAGCATTTCATTATGTTAATTGTTTCGCTTCCTATTCAGATTGGGTCTGATCCAATTCAAATGAAGGCTGTTCGCAGTTAAGTTTCTGTTCTTGAGAATCAGTAACATGTTTATTTTAATAGTATCTTTTAGGAAAATTATGTATGGAATTACACTACCCCCATGAATATTGTTAACTAACATAATTCTATTTCCTTCTCTTTCAAAAGTATGCATGTTTGACACATTTGTTATGTAGCATTCTATACAATATTGCACCATTAATATAACATCTGTTATTGTTAAATTTATAAGGATCATGATTTTTTTCAATTAATAACATAGTATTGACAGATATTCTCTATATCCACTCAGTAACTGGATGTTTTTTAAATTGAATGGAGGTATTACACCAAAGTATTTTTTTTAGTAACCATTTTGTAATGGATCAGCAATTCAGCATATAATTTGTGTTACAAGTTTCTTTTAAATAAAATACATAAATACAGCAGTCATGTACAATGACATTTTAATCTACTGTATATAAATTCTGGAAATTTTGCTGGAAGAACAAATTTTTTACACCCGGCTCATATTCAGAACTTTTTTAACCTTTTCACTAAACTGTTTTTAATACACTCTCACCCTCTTTCACTCTCTAATATCAAATACTATGCATCAGTATCTTTATACACCAAACCTACTTTCATTATTATTTAAATGCCATTGCTCATGGAATTAGGTTATTGTGAACATGCATTGTTAAAAGTGTAATAGCAGTACAAGCACATTCTCAGTATTTACCTTCTTTATCCAAAACTATTCTCAAGTTGCAAAGACCCTGTGAATGCAGATGATCTGGGTACTACTGTTGTATTCAGTACACCTACCAGTACTATATCAAATGACTTTAAAAAATAGAAATTGCAAGTGAAGTCTGCGAAGTACAACAACGCATATAAATGTTCTTCGAACAAAATTATTTATGCGAGTCAAGTGAAAATAATGAATAATAAAACTATAACAAATAATATGAGACACGACCCATTGTCTATATTAGAACACTTCTCATTAGTTAACAAAGTCGTAATTTTTCATTTTTGTCAAAAAGTATCTATAGTGTGGTGAATTATGGTTTAGGTTTTTTTTAATAAAGTTTCAAAAATTTCTATGTATGTGGAAAATGTAGTTGATTACCAAAGGTTACAATTTTTATTTTGAAGACTGCATGGTCTAGGAAGTGTACATTATTTATGGGGCAAGTTTCCAAGGGCGGGTTTTCTAGGGGCGAGTTGACTGTCAAAGAGTGTTGCCAAAGTGCGAGCCAGCGTGTTATTTGATCACAAGTGCGAGACATATCACAAGTGTGAGCCAGCGAGCCATGACGTCACGACAATAGATAGAGACGTACTTAGCCAGTTGTGCGAGGTATCGGCTGAGATTTGTGGAGTACAATTCTAAAAACAACTATAGGTCTAATAATGAATTATTGTGATGTTAAATAGACAATGTTAGCTATCAAAGAGCGACGTTGTTTTTCATTGGCTAAGCCTATACCATCCTAGCTAGTCTAGGCCTAGAGTAGGATAAGGCTAGCGCGACATACACTAGTAGGTTAGTCTACAAACGTCGCCTAAAGTAATTGATTTTACCCGGCAGAACGAAAGAAGGAAACTCCGCTTTTTCCGTCGCGGACGTTGGTACGAGTAGGTTAGTCTACAAACGTCGCCTAAATTAATTGAATTTACCCGGCAGAACGAAAGAAGGAAACTCCGCTTTTCAGTCATCTTAGGCACTTGTTTTTTGACAAACAATGACCTTTCAGAGGTCAAATTGCTGTCAAGAATATGAATTGGCTGCTTCGCAGCAATAATGGCTTCATTGCAAAGGGCCATACAATCTGTATTGTTTACTTCAGTATAAAACAGATTGTGGATTTACACAATTATAGTAAAAGAATAATAGACAATACAACCACACAGGGCAAGAGGTGCTACTGATCCCTTTTCTAAATACAGTAAGTCGCAGATGCTCTGACTCTCACAAGACAATACATGACCTAGCCAGTAACATATGGACAAGTCAAATGAACATTTATTTCCTCAGAATTGGAATAGGCTATGTGTGTGTATTGTTACAGTACATGCACATTATCTGCATGCATAATTGTTTTAAATACATTGTCATTTGCAATGATTCACCGATTATGTATTGGTGATATCGTTCTGTGTATTTTGATCGAGGACATTTTACAGAAAACAATCACATCATTTGGAATTCCACTGCCTCTTATGCTATGTGCAATATATAAAATATTTTAATTATGTATAATCATAATTAACATATTTTATATGTTAATTTTAATTATGCATAATCATAAGCACAGCTGATATAAAGTATTCAAAACTCTGCCAAAGTACATTTCACCCTGTGAGTGTGTGAAAATAGACAAACCAAAAAGTTATAGAAAGAATAATATAGATTTTGCCTCGTCTATTATGCCAAGTTTAACACTTGACTTGACTTTTGGATCCAACGCAGGAAAATACTTATTAATTATTGTACTCTACAGTAGTAAGTTCATGTTTCAGCTCAGAAAGGAACACTTAGTACAAATAAGAAGTATTGAAAATTTCAATATACATATAACATGAAAGAGAAACACTAATAACTGTGTATAATGACCTACATACTGTATCATAATAAGTTTATCTGCTTTAAGGCCCGTCTGCATCCGAGATTGGATTGTGGGGATATGCAGGTGGTGACAGGGACCAATGAGAAGATTTTGACCCTTAGTCTATTTACTTTTGTTTTTAGATTTTCCATGCTAGACTCCATGGCTAGACGGACTACGGTATGGTGGAATGAACAATGATAGGCAAATAGCTTGAATTCCTCAAACCGAAAGATACACTCATTAATCTCAGATAAAAAGGTATAATAATATATACACCAAGTATTGAAATGCACGCCTCATTGATTTCCTCATGGATTGTTAAAAATTAAGGATTACTAGTGAGCTGGCCATTTTGCCATTAAACACAATCACTATTGAAATTCCTTAAAATTTTAACAATTTAAATAATAATAACAGTAATGGCTTTGTATTATACTTGTATAGTATATATAGTATAGTAGAGTTTTGGTTGATTCTGCTTGCTGTAGCAACTGAACTAGATTTGCCTGTTTTTGAACAAAGAAAAGTACAAACAATTGGCTAAAAATTACTGTTGTCTCTCAATGATTTCTAAGTGCAAAAGTCATAGTCCTTGTTGCAACCAGATACTCCAATGTATCCAAGTATTTTATCTTTTTTTTTGTAAATATACATATTCAAATGTGATATTTTAGAATGAGTTTCATTTTTTCTTTAGTATTTTGATAATTGATATTATTATTCTACTTGATCTTTTTTGTCTTCTCATCAATGTTTTAAAAAGTAATTTTTGAATGTTTCATATC